GAATGAAATGAAGTCATGTATATGCAGTGTCTTAACACAGTACCTAGCTCGTGGAAAGTACTCCAAAAACTGTTAACTAGGTTGTTGGTATAAGATTTTCACCTATCCCAGAGTTCAGATTGATTGTGTGGATCATGACAAATTATGGATAACATTGAGAAGAATGGGAATTCCTGAACGCTTGATTGTACTCATGAGGAACCTGTACATTGACCAGGAGGCTGTCGTTAGAATGGAACAAAGAGACACTACATGGTTTAAAATCAAGAAGGGAGTGTGTCAGGGTTGTATCCTTTCCCCATACCTATTTAATGTATATGCTGAGCAAATAATGTGAGAAACTGGACTATATTAAGAAAAATATGGCATCAGGATTGGAGGAAGAATCATTAACAATCTGAGATATGCAGACAATACAACTTTGCTTGCTGAAAGTGAGGATGACTTGAGGCACTTACTGATGAAGATTGAAGAATACAGTCTGCAGTATGGATCACATCTCAATATAAAGAAAACAAAAATCCTCACAACTGGACCAATGAGCAGCATCACAATAAATGGAGAGAAGATTGAGGTTGTCAAAGAATTCACGTTGCTTGGTTCTACAATCGATGCCAATGGAAGCAGCAGTCAGGACATTAGATGACGTGTAGCATTGGGAAAGTAAACCATGAAGGAACTCTTTCAAGTGCTGAGGAGCAAGGATGTCTCCTTGAAGGCTAAGGTGTGCCTGACACAAGCCATGATATTTTCAGTCGCCTGGTATGATGTGAGAGCTGGACAATGAATAAGGAAGACTGAAGAAGAGTTGATGCTTTTGAGTTGTGGTGCTGGCGAAGAATGCTGAAAGTGCCATGGACTGCTAAAAGAACTAACAGACCTGTCCTGGAGGAAGTGCAGCTGAAATGTTCATTGGAAGCAAGAATGGCCAGACTTTGTCTCACCTTCTTTAGTCATGTTGTCAGAAGGGACCATTCCCTGAAGAAGGATGTCATGCTTGGTAAGGTGGAGGGTCGATGAAAGAGGGGAAGGCCTTCAAGGAGATGGATTGACACGGTGGCTGCGATGATGGGCTCAAGTATAGCAGGGATTGTGGGGCTGGCACAGGATCGGGCGGTGTTTCGTTCTGCTGTGCTTGGGGTCGCTATGAGTCAGAAATGACTTGACAGCACCTAACAACAACAACAGAGTTCAGATATGTTACCGGCTGTGTCAAAGGGTGTCTGTTTTTATAATCCTACCTAATGCAGTGAGCCGTTTTGATCTGAAAAATTGGGGTCTGTCTGAGCTCAGGGAAATTTTATCTTACATTTTCTTATTATTGCTGCTTTTCTATTTTTCCTTTTCTTACTGAAGTTCCTATTATCTGAACATTAGATTCTCTGACTCTGTCCTCCATGCCTCTTCTCACTAGAAGTTGCCACTTCTCAAGTAATTTTTACTTTGTATTCTGAGATAATTCCCCTAATTTATCTTCCAGATCACTAATTTTATTTTCACCGGGGATCCTTTTTTTTTTTTTTTTTTTCAGTACTTCTGATGAATATTTAAGTTCAGAAATCCTTGTTGTTGTTTCTAAGAGCTCCTTCTCACTCTATTAGCTCTTCTACATTATTTTTCAAATCTCATTGAGAATTTACTGAAGCATTTTTAAGCAGTCTCTCTCCTGCCTACTGTGCTACATCTGTATCAACAGGGGTTCACCTGGGCTGATTTTCCAACCTGGGCCCCTCTTTCAAGCAACCGATTTCCCCTTAAAAGCCCAGCAGTTTGCCATCACCTGTGTGTCTTCTCACTGCACTCTTGGGTGTGCCAGTCCTGACCCCAGGTGTGGTTCCCCTCAGCCTCCACAGTGTTCTGACCATTGGGGTCATTTGCAGCAGCAGGTGGCTGCTGGGAAAAAAGACTGCCCTTCACTATTCACTGCCCTTCACTGTGTACCTAGAATAGTGCCTGGCATATGAGGGCAGTTAGTACATGTTTCATGAGTGAGTGAGTGAACAATTTAATGATGGAGTGATGTGACCTTCTCTCAGAATCAGGGCTTCCTGAGGAAGGGTCACAGCCAAGACATAGTGAGGGTCATTCTGAATGATAACTGCCAAAGCCAGGAGTATTTTAAAGAGGGTGGGAGATATGGGGGTGGTGAGGGTCAGCCTCAGCCTTGGTGAACACAGTCAGATTTATGGATAGAAAGGATTCACCCCACTCGCCAATCCAGCCTCAGTAAGAAATGAGAACAGGCAGCCATGTGAGTCCCCACTCGTGGCAGATTTTTGAGGAAGCTGAGCAGTGGGGCCCAGGGTATCAGCTCCAAGCGCCACTACTCAGTCACCTCCAAAGGCTGCAGCTACCTTCCTTCCAACAGGCCAGGGAGGTGAGAATAGGCAAGGACACAACTCACCACACACTGGCCTCCAGTTGACAACTCACAAAAAGTCAATGCCCTGGTCTTTTTATACACTTCTGTAAATACAAATATAAGAGTGGAGTCTCCTCTTTGCCATTTCAAATAACAAGTGATGCTGAAGTCTAATTTGGATATTGGCAACAAGTTTTGCTCCTCACCCCACCCCACCCCCATTATCTATTGAGTGTACCCTTCTAGACCTTTATTCATGATGTACAGACATGAACCGCCAGCCTTCTGGTTAGCAGTCAAATGCCTTAGGCATTATACCACCAGAGCTTCCTATGTACAGGTAGGCATAGGAAATTTATTATTTATTAGAGAATTTTTTTTAGCTTAAGTGTATGACATTGTATGTGTTGTGGTGCTTGCTTGTTTTCACCAGTCCTGTGACTTGGAGATCTACCCATGTTTGTATGTATATATAGATCTCCTCGTTCTTTCTCATTGTTCTACAGCACTGCTCTCTGGAAGAACTTTCTGCAGTGATGGAAATGTTCTGTGTCTGTGCTGTTCAATACAGTAGCCATTAGGCACATGTGGCCCTTGAGCACTTGACATAAGGCTAGTGTGACTGAAGGACTGAATTGTTCATTCTCATGAGTTGTACTTAATTTTAATTTAAATAGCTAAGCGTGGAGGTCAGGCTGGCAGCAAACATGTTGGCCACCATAGCTCCACCATATTCCATGGTACAAATTTGCTACCATTTATTTTGTCTTTTCTCTGATGATGGGCCTTTAGATTATGTTAGTTTTTTTCTTTTGTTGGTATAAAAATGGATTTTCAAAGAACATGCTTGAACAGTCCTCTTTGGGCATGTGTGTATGTTTCTCTAGGGCCTTAAACCTTCCTTGCCAAGATTGTGTTAGTGCATGTGTACTGTTCAAATAGATTGTCTATCTTTTGGGCCCTTCTTCAAGGTAGAAAGACCACTTCCTGAAGCTACCACCCTGATTTGCATGTTCTATATGTAACCCTTTGCTTGGGTTAGACCTCAGGGAGTTCTGGTCTTCCCACTGACCTGAAATGCTATACCCAGCCCCGAGAGATTAAAATACAATAACCACATAACAAGGCCTTCAAGGCCCATGAATTTATGGCCAGTACAGTATATAAAAAATGAAACAATGGACAGAAGGCAATCACTAACTCCAGGAAAAGTAGAAAATTGCATAGGAAAGGTAATCATTACTACATTGGTCCCTTGGTATCAGCAGAGGATTGGTTCCAGGACCGCTGTGGATACCAAAATCTGGGATGCTCAAGTCCATTATATAAAATGGCATCGTATTTGCATACAACCTACATACATCCTCTTATATACTTTAAATCATCTCTAGATTACTTATAATATTCTGTACACTATAAATACTATGCAAATAGCACTTGATGCCCCTCCTTAGCCTTGTTTTGAGCACTTAATTGCTTCTCCCACCCCCTAAATATTTTCAATCCACAGTTGGTTGAATCCTTTGATGCAGAATTAAGCTGTGGATACAGAGGGCTGACTGTACATTATGCATCTCCACTCTGAATAATTGGTCTAACTATGTAACATCCTGTGATAGGCAAAATTTTGACCCCCCAGTGTTATACCTATGAATACTTAATATTACATGGCAGAAGGGACTTTGCAGATGTAGTTATGATTATGGACTTTAAAACAGGGAGATGATTGTGGATTGCGTATATGGGCCAAATCTAGTCAGTTGAGCCTTTAAAAGTGGAGAAATGTCTCCAGCTGAAGTCAGTCAGAGTGATGCTACAGATGACAGCAGAGAGATTCTAAGTGTGAGAAGGGCCTTTCATTGCTGACTTAGAAGATGGAGGGTCCAGGTGACCTTTGGAAGTTGAGAATGACCCAAATTGGTGGCCAGCAAGGAAATAGGGACCATAGTCCTACTGCTACCTGGAACTGAATTCTGCCAACAACCTGAATGGGCCTGGCAACCAATTCTCCCCCAAATCCTCCACTTTGATTTGAACCTTGTGGAACCCAGAGCAGATAAAGCAACTGAGCGTGCCAGATTCATAACTTACACACTCTGAGATGGTAAATCTGTGTTTTAAAGCCACTAGGTTTGTAGCAGTTTGTTATAGCAGAAATAGAAAATTAATATACCACCTAATATTAATTCAGGAAAAAAAATTAAAAAAGGATTACATTGAGAGGTAGGGAGGTGATAGGTGATTCTGTTTTCAGGGAAGAGAACTATAAGAAAACTAAGTTCTCATGTTGCATGGCAGGAAGTTGAAAGATGATCTTTAAACCTTAGAAAAAATAGCAGTATAAGCATCTGTAGAAATATGACAATAAATATTCAAAGAAACAGCTAATGGTATAGTTGCTTCTGAAGAGCAGGAGTTGGAAGTGAGGAAAAGCTGCCGATTTTTTCGTTGTAAGCTTTGGAGAGAGCTGTATGATTTTTAAATACAATTCCTGTGTTACTCCAGTGAAAATTAAGAAGACTAAATCTTACCACCACCACCACTGTAAGACTTGCCCACCTCGCCAAGAACCTGAACAGGTGCAGTGGGGCCTGCCCCTGCACCAGGGGTGTGGCAGCCGCTCCTCTCTGGTCCCCAGGGTGGAAGAGAGTAACAGCAAGCTTCTGGAGTCAGAGAGGAAGCTGCAGGAGGAGCGGCAGCGCGCCGTGGTGCTGGAGCAACATCTGGAAAAGATGCGTCTAGAGCCTGGGCGGGCGCCAGGTTCACAGAAAGCAGTCCCCAGGAGCAAAACAGGTAGGGCTGGGACATGGGCTATAGGTGAGGTGGGAGTGGGGACAGACTTGTTGCTAATGCTGCCAGCCTGCAGCACTGTTCAGCCCCATTGGTGAGAATGGGGGAAGCAGAGGCTCCACTGAGGTGGCACTTTTCTCACCCCAGCTGCTGGTATGTTCTTCTTGGCCCTCCAGAACCAGGAACCCAGAGCTCCAGGGGTCCCTGTGGCCCCAGCCCACTTGCAAGCCCTTAGCCCTTAGTGCCTCTGCTGACTGCCCTCAGCCACCACGTCCACTGCCATCCCTACCCCAGCCTTCAACCCTCTGTCCTGAGCCAACTGTTCTCAGAGTTGGTCATGGGGCAAAGGTGGTCTGTTGGAGAGGCCCCTGCAACAGGAGAGCAGTCCATTTCCACCTCCTGCAGCAGTCAAGCTAAGCAGGTGTCTCCACAGGTTCTGAGACTCAGGCTTCTTGTGTCTGTGGGTCCACCACCCCTAACATGCAGCTCCCATGTCATGATGTAAGAGGGTTGCATCAGCTCCCCCACTAGCTGCAGGAAGGGGAGAAGGGAAGGAGACAACCTGCTCCTGTCCTTCTAAGGGCATGGCCCTAAAGTTGCAGGTGGCACTTCTGCTCTCATCCCATTGGCCAGACCCATATCCCCTGGCCATGCCCAGCTGCAAAGGGAAGCTAGGAAATGTCTTCATCTCAATGGTCTATTGCTCTAACGCAGCAGTTCTCAAGGTGCAGTCTCCAGACCAGCAGTATCAGCATCATGTTGGGGTGGGGTGATCTGGGGTTGTGGAATCTCAGAGCCAGAAGCCATTTCTGGGGTAGCTAACTGCCAGGGAAGAAGAACTTCCGTCTGTCTCCCTCTGACCTCCCCACCACACCATCCTCCAGGCTCTGGGGTAGAGGTGCTACTGCCCTCACTATACTGTCTCCCAGCATCTCCAGTAGTACTCTACCCCTCCCCCAGCACTCAGCCCAGACAAGATCAGGATGTTTCAGAAGATATGCCAGAAATGGGTCACAAAGTGGCCTCCTACTCACCCTCCTCCAAAGAGCAGGGCCAGGACTTGACAAGGACTCCCTGGAACTGCTGAGTGTCCAGGCTGGGCAAGGTCTCTGGGGCTCAACCCTACTGACCCAACAAAAGTGTGGTGTCTCCAGGCTTCGAGCCCACTTCTTGTCAAGTTCCCAACCAGGGAGGGCTAAGCCACACAATTTTCTGAGGGTTCCAGCAAAAATGCCACTTTGATCTTGCCTGGGCAGTTGGGGACAGCTGCCTGAAAGGGTCCACGTGGCTCCTGCCACCTGCTAGACTGTGACATGGACAGAGCACTGCGCCTTTGGGAAGTATAGCAACTTCCAGGCAATAAAACAAAGAGACTGGAATCTGGAATCCATTTCATTCCATTCCAGTGAGAGAGAGTGACAATAAACAAGTAACCCAGTAAAAGACATGATGGGTCAAGTGGTGGCCTGAGAAGAAGAGGGGATAGAGGGTGCTAAGGAAGCAGCTGTTTTTTTATGAAGTGGCCAGCAAAGATCCCGCTGAGGAGTTGATATCTGAACAGAGATGGGGGAGGCAGGATATGGGGGAGAGTACCCCAGGCTGAGGGAAGGGCAAGTGCAAAGGCACTGCTGTAGGAGCTTGGCTTGAGGATTGGAGGAACAACAGCGAGGCAGCCAGGCTGGAGCAGAGTGAGAGGAAGGGAGAATGAGAGGAGGTCAGAAAAGTCACAGGGTGCTGAGGAGGTGGTCCAGTTACTCAGGGCCTCGAGCTCCAAGTGTGAACTCACTCTTGGCCTCACAAAGCTCTAGAGGCCAGAACTATTATCCTCATTTTATAGGTGGGAAGACTGGGGCTCAGAGGGGTTTATGGGTTACCTGAGGCCACATAGCAGGGAATGAATATTGGGTCTAATGTGAGGTGAGCTCCCTAAAGCCACACCATCCCTGAGAACCACATCATCCTCGAGGCCTTTTTCAACACAGAGGTTTTCTAATGCTGTGATGTTGCCTGCATTCCCAAGTTGGGCTTTGTCTTATTTTTTCTGAATATTAGCCTATTTACTTCAGCCCCCTGCCCCTTGTATGACTCAGTGGTCCTTGGATCCCCCTGCTTCCTAGTGTGGAGCTGCTGGCAGAGATGGAGGCTGAGAGAGGAGGAGGGGACCCAGTGGTGTAATGACATCAAATAGAGTGATGGCCCTAGACTTGAGCTCACCATCAGGCCAGACCTCAGGCCTGCTGGAGTCTCTTATTGGAAACGAACTACCAGAAACTTGAAATGCATAAAGATGGAGACAGTGAGATGAGAAACCACCTTGGTACAAAGCTGGCTGATTCAGGGTTATTGCAGAGGCCAAAGTCAGGGTCAGGGGAAAGCAGAGGAGGCATCAGGAAGGGCTTCTGGAGAGAGGTAGCCCTCATCCTGCACCTTAAAGGGAGAGGAGTAGCAGGGAGGGAAGTCCAGGCAGTGGGAACACCCAGAGCAGACGCCTGGAGGGGGAGCGGGGGAAGAGATGGAGGATGTCAGCACAGAATGTGGCCTTATCACAGAAAGCAACTGTTACCCCCGCAGGTCTGTCCACCTCTAACAGCAAGCACAACCTGACCATGAGCAACAGAAAGGACCCCTCCTTCGCCCAGCTCTCTGATGTGCCCATGGAATCCCAGATGGAGGAGCTAACCACCAGGTGCTCCCTGACCCCATGTTCCTGAAAGGGTCAAGTTGTCTGGGTGGAGGTGCTTTGATAGGTAGAGGGATGATACCCCCTTTCACACCTTCAACTTCTATTTGTCCAGAAGGCTGGTCCCAGCCTCTAGGCCTACAGTTCAGAAACTGGCCATCTGTGGGCAGAGGGGCCCTGCAGACTCTGATGACCCCATGGTTCCAATAAGTTTATCAGACATGGGTTGCTAAACCCACTTTCCTCAGTTAAGCCTTGTAAGATCACATGCAGTGATGGGAAAGGAAGGAGAGGGAACTGCTGCGAATTAATAATCTCTCCTTATGCAACCAATATTTCTTGGCAGCTAGTGGGAGCTAGTCCCAGGGCTGTAGGCAAGCTCCAGAGAGGAATCCTGCATGCTTATTCCCCTAAGGCCCACTGAGGGGAGTGGCCAGTGAGACACCCTGAGCCTGAGGAGCAGCCATGCTGGAAGCCCCATCCCAGGGACTTCTGTACACACACACACACACACACATATGCACACATACACAGACAGTTCAGGCCATGCTGAGCTCAGTCTCCATGTGGTCCAGGCTAGCCATCCAGGTGGAGGAGAATGAAATGCTGAAGGCTGCCCTGGGCAGTGCCCTACGGGGGAAAGAGGAGGACTTCCGTACATACCACGAGACCCTGGACCAGGTGAAAGAGGTCTTCCTGCAGGCCCTTCGGCAACAGAAGACAGACAAGCACTAGGAGGGTAGCCTCTTTGTCGGCCTGGCCAGACAGAGCAGCCTCAGGCCTTAGGAGGACCAGGCTCTGTCTGAGGACTCTAGCCACCCTACGAAGCCAGCCTGAGGCAGCCAGCTTGGCCGCTGATCCCAGAAGAGACTACCCAAGGATGAGCAAAGCCAAGATCACAGGCCAAGAGGGCAAAGGAGAAGTCCTGCTGGAGCCTAGAGAGGAGATCCTGGGCAGGTGTGACTACAGAGAGGCCCAGTAGCCAGCTTGGCATCTGCAAGAGCTCTGAGACAACCAGTCAGCTGTGAAAGGACAGATGCAGATCCTCTAGCACATGATATCACCTTTGTCTTAGCTGGGGGCCCCTGTACCTCCACCAGGCTCCTCACACAGGGGAGCCCTTGGTGCTCTGGACTGGGTGCATCCCCCAGGCCACCCAACCCATCCTGCCCCATGCCCCAGGGCATGAATGCCCCGTGCATCCTTTATATCCCCCACCTGTGTCCACCCCCATCCTTGCAGACTTGGGGTACCACCTCCCCCACATTCAGCCTCATTGTCAGCCCACTCCCCAGGCCTCTCCCCTAGACATAGATCCTTGGACTTGTAAAAATAATGATTATTTTCATAATCATTGTAGTTTCCAGTGAGTGAGCATGTACTATGGAAATCTGACCCTATCTCATCCTCCCAACAACCCAGGGCATTGTCACTCTATTTTACAAATGAAGAAACTGAGGCCCAGAAAAAGAAACAGATCTTGTATTTAATGCTAGCCTGCCTGACTCCACAACCAGAGTCCTCTGGTCAAGCAGTTTGCTCAGGTTAGGCAAGCCCCCCCATAGCTGGACAGCTCTGTCCCAACCAGCTGCTCCAAGAGCCATTGCCCTCTGCCTCTAGCATGCTGTAGTTGGTGGGTGCTGGTGGTGAGGGCAGCAGAGGGGCTGGGCAGGAAGCTTGGGCAGGCAAGATGGAGGGTTTTCTATATTTCCCTCACCCTGCACAGGAGCAAGCTAGAAGGGCTGCTGCAGGGACCCCAGGAGCCCTCTGTGACTATCACAGGGTCACCTCCAATCAAGTCACCCACGGCTACATACCTGACTCCACACATGTGCACACACAGACCCACACAGAGATCCAAATGTGCACACACACACTAGAGGAACACACAGCTATGCATATGTGCACACGTACCCACAGACACCTGGCTGACTGGCACACACCTGCAGACACTCCCACACAGGTGAGTACACATGTGGATGCAGAGACATTCCCACATGTGAAGACACAGTCACTTATGTCTCTTGGGCAGTGGCACACAGAAAAGTGGGTGCACCCAGGGACACACACTTGCATGCACAAGTATGCACACACATACTGTGGAAACACTGCCTCCCCCGGCGGAAGCCACATGGAGTTTCGGGGGCCCCGTCAGCAGGAACAGCCCCCTGTGCTGTCTGTACTGCTCAGAACATTTCTCAGGGATGAGGCTGTGGAGAGACCCAGTGCTGGTCCCCTACTCATATCGCCTACTCAGGAAATCCCTGGGCCCATGTGGAAAGACACAGATCTAGAGATCACATAGCAAGATGCAGTAAAGGCCACCAGGAAAAGCAGTGATTCTGATGGGGCTTCCTAGAAGGAAGAATTTTTCTCCTGCTCCTTGTAAAGGGCAGTGACCAGGCTGAGCCAGAGAGGAGGGGGAGGCCCGTGCTGGGAGGGAACAGTGTGTGACAGTGAGGAATGGGCCAGATGTGGAGGGCCCAAATGCCAGGCTGAGCAGTCAGCATCTTACCCTGCAGGCGCTGGGGAATCCCAGGGGGTGATCTCAGTGTGTGCAGGTGGGCTCTGGCTTAGGACCAGCCATCCTTTCACAAGGAATCCTGCATGCTTATTCCCACAACTACATGACCTACACCCTACTCACCCAAAGGTGTGTTTGTGTCCCTTCCTTGCTCAGGGCTGGGCTGAGAGAAGACAGCCCCTGGTCACGGGTTATAAATAGCCCCGGACAGATAGCTTTCCCTACTCACCAGTGTGTGACCTTGGGCCAAGATTTTTTTTTAGCCTTCCTGTGCCTCCATGTCCTCAGTAAAATGAGGACGATAATAGAACCCTGAGGTTATAGGGTCAGAGAAAAACTCAAACACACTTAGCTAAGTACTACCTCTGTTTACTTCTGTACCAGGGACATTCGTGAATAGATTGATTTCATCTCACAAGGATAAAGATGGGATTTATATAAGAGAAAGGGGAGAATAACTTCAGACAGTGATGCACAGCAAATCTTGTTTGCCCATTTTTGGGTAAACTGATTAGCTGGGGTCTTGCAGAGATCAGTGTGGGCGTGGTCCTTGCTCAGGCCAACAATGGGTACAAAGGTAACTGTTTGCATTTATGAAATCTTCAGGCAACATTAAGAGCCCAGCTGTGGAGCTGAGCAGCAGGGCCCCTGCCACATCCACCAGCACCTACCATCAGCACCCCCACTACTATCAGCACCCCCAGTTTAGTGGTGATTCCCTGATCTCCAGGAACTCCCAGGCCAGTTGGGGAGACAGAGTTATCACTGGTCACCATCCACTCAACCACTGGTCACCAGCCTCCAGGCCATATAGGGATTATAGGCGAATCTGCTTGCTTTCTTATTTCAGGAAACTCCTGGTTCATTCTGAGGCATGGAAAACAGAGCCATGAAGGAGCAGGAGGGGTGGGTGGAAGGATGCGGGGGCAGTAATGGGCTGTGGCACCAGAGCTTCCCACCTTCCTCCCTGTGGCTCCCACAGTCACTGCCCAAATCTGGGTGGGGAAGGGGCTCTTACGAAGCCCTTGCCATCACATCTCCTTGAGGTAGAGAGTAAGGGAAGGAAAAGGCCCAGGAGAGCCCAGGAAAAGGATTTTAATGGGAAGGAAGGGCTGTCAAATGGGCCAAGGAATCTACTCCAGGTGGGCCGAGTGGAGAGTAGCGCAGCCTAGTCTGTCCAGTTAGTGCCCATGGCCACTGGGGCCCTGAGGTGACCTCCCCATTCTTCAGGCAGACAGTCAGCAGGCAGGATGGACTTGCCTTTTACAGAGAAGAGCACCAAGGTCCCTTCCCAAAGTCCTCAGGGGAAGTATGTGGAGGGAGAAACAGGTGTTCTGGAGGACCAAGGAGCAGGGACAAGGAGAGAGGCAAGGTGGTGGAGACGCTTCAGCTGAGGAGACTCTGTAGCTGCACCCCAGGCAGGTGCTGTGGGCCTAGGTGCTCAGATTCCAGTATTGACAGGTGAGACCCAGCTGAGCTGTGGGCGTGACTCCCTGTGGTGGCCTCTGGAACACTGCAGCTAAGCTGGGCAAGGTTACAGCCTGACTCAGGCCGAACCCCAAACACATTCTATTGCCACTGGGCCCCTCCCTTGCTTCCGGCAGCCCAGGGCAGGGTTGCCTGCAGCGGGGGTGCTACTCTGGGTCCTCTATATCTCCCAGACAGAACTAGTCTCTCCTTCCCATCTCTTTGCTAAGAGAGCTCATGGCCAGACTCTTTACACAGGGAAGTCTCACCCTGCCCACTCCCACCCCTAGAGGTATGGGCTCCACACACACTGTCCCTAAGTCCCTGAGCCCTGCATACACACATAACACACACAAACACACACAACACACCCTGCAGGGCAATCAGTTCCAGAAGCTTATGGGGCTGATCCAACTGCTTAATCTCCTTGTGCGTCTGTTTCTTCTACCAACTGAGGAAAATAATAACTACCCTGTGGGTTGTGGTGACATTTAAAAGAATTAATCCATGTACACCACACAACCAGGCAGCACAAAGCACACAACACATGTGCATACATTATACACATGCCATAAACAACATACAATGCAAAACAATACATACAAACAACAAACACAAAATACTATCTTATATATACACACACAGGGTACTTTCCCCACCTTCTTACTTTGAGCAACAAAAAAACACTGAGAGGGAAACAAGGACTTAGTGTCCCTGAGGGTGGAGAGAATCGCCCCTCCTCTCGTTGAGGCGTTTCCAGTGGCCCTTGCATCATGTGGGAGACTGACCGTGGGCCCTTGTGCTGGTCTCAGCCCAATCACAGCTTCCTTCCTGCCTCTTGTGTTTGTGGGCTGCCCACACCACGCCCCCTTCCCTCCCACCACCTCTCACACAGGGTGGAGCTGACCTCAGGCTGTCCAGGCCTGGGTCTAAGGGGCCTCCCCTGCCCTCCACACCTCTTGCTATCCTTACTTGCCAAGTTCTCTGCCAGCCCTGTTGTATGTGGGTGATCCAAGTGAGTGAGTGAGTCCTGCCTCTCCGGACCTCGGGAAGGCAGGGCTCTGTGACCCCCTAACTGCCTCTCTAAGAGCCATTCATAAAGCCAGGCCCTTGTCAGGTCATTGAAACCCACCCCCACCCCAGAACCGAGTGAGATCAGGGCCAGTAGTATGCACATTTCACAAATGAGGGTCTGAGATCCAGAGAAGTGGAGAGATTGGCCCAGATCACACCAACAAGGCAGAGCTGAGGTGCAAGGCTGAATCAATGCTTTTAACCCCAGGGCCACACCACCTGCCTGCTTTCCTCCTCAGGTCTGACCATGCACCAGCTGGATGGCAGGCTGGCCCAGGCTGGTCTCAGGAAGCTTGGGTATGGGTGAGCCAGGTCCTTACCCTGCAGGACAATTAGTTCCAGAAGCTTATGAGGCTGACCCAACTGCTTAATCTCCTTGTGTGTCAATTTCTTCTTCTACCAACTGAGGATAATGATAACAGCTACCCTGTGGGTTATGGTGACATTAAAAAGAATTAATACATGTACAGCCTTAGAACAAGTCCTGGATACTATTACTAGTTTATTTTGACAACCATTGACTCTATCTTCATGACTACTCAGGTGTCTCCCCCTCCAAGAAGTCCTCAACCCCCACAATCTGGCTCAGGTCCCCTCCCTGACACTGATGTCCCCTAGGGCTCACAACCCTTGACTGCAGCCCCAGCCCAGCCCCTACTCTGTGCAGTAA